TTGGTATCTGCAATGAAATATTAATGGGGAATATATTAGATTTGACAGCCTTTAAAATCAAGTATGTGCTCAATAGAACACTATGCAACGCTAAGAATAGTGATGAATCTGAAAAGCACCTTAGAGCAAAGACGAGCCTGGAGGATGTTACACGGCTTAAACTCAGTCAAACAGAAAAGGGCAAATGCTGCGTGAGGTCACTATTAGAAAAAGCCACAAAGGAGTCCTTACACTAACACAGTTGGAGAATTACCAGGGGTAGGATGGGAAAGGTGGGAGGGAAATTCACAGGCTAGAGCAGGCGTCCTCAAACTATGGCCCACGGGCCACATGCACCCCGCAGAGGATATTTATCCGGCCTGCCAGGTGTTTTAGCCCCTTGTTTTTTTTTACTTCAGAATAAGATATGTGCAGTGTGCATAGAAATTTGTTCATAGTTTTTTTTAACTATAGTTCAGCCCTCCAATGGGTCTGAGGCACAATGAACTGGCCCCCTATTTAAAACGTTTGAGGGCCCCTGGGCTAAAGGGTAGACAGATGTTAACTTGAGTGAAGGACAAGGCAATACACAATGAGGAAGAGGTTGGTAAAGTATGATGGAGGCAGGGCAAGACACTGAAAGGTTTGCAAGTATATAAAGGCAACAAAGGCAAATGTTTTTATATACACAATCTTGCAATAGTGGGGGTCCATGAGTAGATGCTTAAATAGACATGAGAGCTGAACAAGTGTTTTTTATAATTGAATCTTGCAAGTGACTGCGCTAGGCTGGGCTGACTAGAGAAACAAATCCAGTGACATTCATATATGTGTAAGAAAGGGCTTTATATGAAGTAATTATATATGGAGAAAATAATCCCAGCCCAGTCCAAACCAAGTCCTGAAGTTTGATACTAGTTTAGAAATCTCTCTTCAGACTCACCGCAGCCACATGCAATGAGGCAGAATGTAGGAAGATCACAGGCCAGTGGGTGTGGGGACAAAGTCTGTGGATCCAATGATGGTGGATGCATCTCCAGGGCTCTGGCCACACTCAAGGTCAGCCAGCAGGAAGGTAGTGGCAGAGAGAGGGGAGGTTCCAAGGGCCCTCCTATGAGAAGGCCATGCCCACAAGGAGTCACCATCACTCTATGACTTAATTGACAGGCTAAATTCCACCCCTACACTTTTATGTATCTTCAAGTTGACATGAAAAAATTTTTTTTAACTATTAAACATTCTTTATTCATTAAAGATTTTTAATACTAGAAAGTGGGGCCAGGACGTGGCACCCCATCAGACTCGTCCAGAAAACGCTCCCAAAGGTCAACAAACAGACCCCGATCTACCAACAGGCTCCCGTTTGTTGTTTTGTTTTTTTCCCCTTTCCGTTTCCCCCTCCCCTCAGCCCATCTGTTCGTCTTTCCCTTCCTTTTTCCTCCTCTCTTAAACTTTGCAGGTCAGCGGTTCCGTTTGTTGGCTTGTCAGTGCTGCAGCAGTCGCCGCCAGGCTCCCATGAGCCTCCTTGGCGCTGAGCGGCCAAAGCCAATCCCAATTGTATTCACACATTGTCAAGTTGACATGAAATTATGTAACTGCCACAGACCACCCTTTGTCAACTAGACAGGTTTACATAACTCTTTAACCATACATTATTTTTTAAACAAAGACAATAGTAAAGTCATATTTGTATTTAACAGGTTAAAACTAAAATGTATACAACTGAAAATGTGCTATTTTATTATTGAAACATAATATTCTATAAGTGAACAAAATAAACATATTTTTTATGCCTAAAAATTTCAGTTCTGCGAACCCCTATGCCATAACCCTATCACCGTACGATGGGGTGCCCACAACACAATGGAAAGAAGCTCTGCTGAGCAGAGCTTTCACAGTAGGCGTCCTCCCCACTCGGCAAGCATTGAGCAACTCGCTGAGGTCGTGCACCCATGTGTCACCTGGGAAGATTCTCTCTGGTTCAGTGAATTTTTTCATAATAGATAGCAGTTTCACTTGAATCTCGTTTTTGTGATGGCTGATTTAAGAGACCAGCGTGCAGCTGTGAAATGTTTACTGCTCAGGAAAAATGCTGCAGAAACTGTTGTGATGGTGAACACAGCTTACAAGGACAGCGCAATGGGAACAACTCATGTACTAGTGGTTTTCTCATTTCAAAAAAGGTGAGATGTCAATTAATGACAAACCTCTTTCTGGATGTCCATCAACTTCCTGAACAGACAAAAATGTCAACTTATAGTTCCACCAGGTCAGACTGTTAATCAAGTTCTCTATGAGAGGTTCTGAAAAGATAGCGTTAAGTGTGTGACAAAAAAAAAGGCCTGATTTGTGGCAGGCGGGGCACTGGTTCTGCCACCACAACAATGCACCTGCTCACAAAGTCACCGTTTTTTTTGGGCAAAAAACAGCATGTCTCTCTTGTCCCATGTACCTTTCTCACCTGTGACCTTGCTCTGTGTTACTTCTTTTTGTTTCCTCAAATGAAGAGGAACATGAAAGGACAGTGATTTGACAGCATAGAAGTGAAGAAAAAAATGAGGGAGGTGCTGTCAGCCGTCCAAATAGATGAGTTTGAAAACTATTTCCAAGAATGGAATCACAGATTTGACCAATGTTATTAAGTGTAATGGAGAGTACATTGAAGGTGATAAGGTTTTGTAAAAAACAAACAAAAAAACCACATACCTTTGAAAAAAAATCTGTTGGGATTTTTTTTTGGGGGGGGGAGTGGTTGGGGTACCTCCTTGTATCCCCGAAAGCACAACAGTTTGTAAGCCAGCCACTTCATGCCTTTAACCCCATTTTGGGACTCCAATTTCTATACTGCCCATTTATATCAACCCAGTGCTCTGAAGAGATAAGCATGTCCTTTGATGTGAAGAATCTTCATTCCAGTTGGAACCTTGTGAGTGTGCATCCACAAGCAAAGTCAAATTAGGATGGGTCGTCCATAAAATCAGCAGCAATGTGCACCATTCATAAGCTCAAAAATCTTATCTTCATCTGGTTTGGTTCTGGTCAACTCAACGTGGCCTGCCTCAGTTAGATTCACTGGGGTGCCCACTGTCCACCATGCCTTTTGACCTTGGGCCCCTTTACAAAATTCTCAACAACCCTAGCCCTACTGGGCTAGGCCATGGCATAGGGTCTGGTTCTGCTCAACTCTTTAAACCTCAGACCAGTCAACCTGCTCGTCTCTCCTCTAGTCCCTGTAAACCAGGTCCTTGCGTGTCGGTGGCCAGACTCAACCTCTCTATTGCTATTTTTCTCCTACTTCCCCTCAACAAATGGATCCAGGTGGTCACCTAATGAACACTTCAGGCTGTCCGCAGGCTCCCTTTAACGTTCAGTCCTACAGAGGAGAGTTCCCTCCTGGCTCCAAATGTCTCCAGCTTTAAGGGCAAACCACTAGTTCAAAATTCAAAAGCCAAATGGCTCCACCCCTCCCTTCAGTCTGCCAACATCTTTCTTGGCAAGTCTTTTCAAGTGTAAATATCCTAACCACTCAAGGCACTGGGTAAGCCTTTCCTTCTCTAAGCCTTCTCTGCAGGTATTTCATACTAACCTGTTTAAAACAACCAATTTAATAGCTGAAGGCAGTGGGCTTACAAACTCTCTATATTCCTATTTCCCAATAATCATCTTTCACACATTATATCAATAACAATTGGTATAAGAAATTTGTATAAACTTAGTACAACCGTATCCTAAACTCAATTCTTAAAATAGTCAAATTCAATCCTTTCTTATCTAAACTACCCCCATTCACATGCAATACAGCCTTATTCGTTTTCACCCTTCCAGTGAGGAGGAACCAGAGACAACTTCTAGGAACCAAAACCTCCATGTCCTTTCTTAAAAACAATCAAGTAAACAGTGTGGCCCTGTCTGACCTCTGGCTAGCCAAAGGAGAAACACTACCACAAGGCAGAGGTCAGACATGCATTCACTCTGCATCTTCAATTGTTTCTCTTAAGTACCTCAACTCCCCAGGTACCACAATGTGTTAGGCTGGGTTGACTAGAGAAACAAATCCAGTGATACTTATCTATGTTTAAGGAAGAGCTTTATATCAAAAAGTAATTCTATATTGAGAAATTAATCCCAGCCCAGTTCACCTCAAGTCCTTAAGTCCCTCTGCAGATTCATGTAGCCATATGCAATGATGCAGCATGCAGGAAGATCACAGGCCAGTGGGTGTGGGTGCAAAGTCTTGTGGATCCAATGGTGATGGATGCATCTCCAGGGCTCTGGCCATCGTCAGTCAGCAGGAAGGTAAAGGCAGAGAGGGGGGTGGGTAGGGGGTTCCCAGGACCCTTCTTATTTGAGAAGGCCAAGCCCACAATGAGTCACCATCAGGCTGTGACCTAATTAACAAGCTAAACTCCACCCCTACACTTTTATATTCAGGTTGAAATGAAATTGTCACTATCATAATGTTATCATTGCTTCTGCAATTTTCTATTGGTCATACAGACCACCTGTGATACAATGTGAGAAAGCACTAAGTTGTAAATCCTAGGAGGTGGGATCACTGGGGGTCATCTTAAGAAGCTAGCTACTGCAAATACATTGCGCAATTGAATTAGATAGTATTACTTTAGAGACTACTGTCATAGAGAATGGTGGTTAATGGTAATCACGTGGTTGAACGTTCCCTTTCCCTACAGAAGGCATACTCCCCTGCCAATGAACCTCACTTATCTGTGGAGGTTTGCATGTTGCTATGACACTGACCAGGATTCAGCAGGGCTCCAGGCTAATATGAACTAGGAAAAAAGGCCGGTTCCCCTGCTTCTTTGTGTTTTTTTTTTCCCTGCAGAGTCATGTGATAGAAGGGACTTTGTTTTAAAAGAGACTGCATACAGCCATTGATTATACAGAACCACTTCTCAGTGCTTGTTTCTTTCCACTTGAGAAATCGTTAATACACCACGATGAGGATGATACGGCTGAAACAAGATCCTTAGCTTATCATCTAGGGTACACATACACACTTAATCATTTGACACTTTATTGAACACAAAGCTTTTGTCGTCAACAGCTAAAGCAGGAGCCCAGGGAGGAGAAAACGGCACAGCTTTCCTTGGCGGGGAAGATGGGAGTTCCTCTGGTCCCATCTTGTCATGGGAAGATTAACCCATGTTCTGCCTGTTGCCAGAACCCTTAGGATGGGTGTCCTTCCAGTCATCCCAATCCCGGGCTCGGTGCACTGTTTTTTCATCATCCTCTTCCTCCTTTTGTTCTCGATCCTCCTGTTCTGATGCCATCTTGGCAATTCCCTGATCTGGTAACACTCCGTATTTCCGGTGCTGTTCATACCAGTCATCCACTGTCACAGTGGCCAGGCTCGGATAACCAGTTCCAAACACCTTGGCTTGGGCCAAGTCTCGAGCGAGAATGAAGGGTTTCAGCGGCGGTCTGTCCTGCCGAGATGCGGGAGAAGGTGATGTCTCTTTTGAGAAGGCTCTTTCTCTGAGGATCTTTATCTCTTGGTCAATGCTCTCAACCTCTTCCAAACTGATACTAACCCACCTCTGAAGCTGCAGGAGATAATAGGCACGGACATGTTCATCATCTGCTTGGCCAGTTTCCACAGTCGACTTGAGTGCGGATAACCTGCGCTCCACCTCCTTCCTCTGCCTGTATTTCCCTATTTTAGTCTGTCTTTGAGATGTCCTAACAAAGAGGTTGGAGGAGGCCGTGGAGGAAGGAGCAGTGTTATGTTCAGCCGAGTTGCTCTTGGTTTGGGGCAGCTCAAACTTTGCAACGTGACAGCGATGGCACTGGGCTAAGTAGTTTACGAAGTGCTCTCGGGCCCACTGCAGGTGATCGAGGCGCTTGCTGGGGTTGACTTGTTTCATGGCCAGGGCTCCCTGAAATGCTGGCACCAAAAGGTACTTCAGGTCGGTGGAAGCGATCTCTTCTAAATCTTCATTTGGGCTGAACAAGTCGAGCTGTGATAGCATTTTGGCAGCCTTCTCAAGGAGGTCCAGTCCCTTAAGCACCTTATCCTGGACTACCCAGGAACCAGTCGGTTCCATCGCCACTTCCACTTCCTCCAGAAACTGCTTACTGGTTTCGAAGAGCTCAGGGAGCCGTGGCCGCTGAAGTTCGTCTTCGGCAGCTGCCATCTTGTGGGAGCTGTTCACGTACTTCTCAAGGTCAAGTCAGTGAAAGCCTGTAGATTACAATGGTCCAGTCTTGGGGATGGTGCTTGACTGGGCAGCGTTTAGTTCCACCGTGCATGGGGCCAATGCAACGTCAGCTAACAAGAACAGAAAATGAGGTGAACTCAGTCTTTTAGCTACAAGAAAGGACACAGTGATTAAGAACCAACCTCTAAGAACTGACTATCTAGGTTCAGATGCTGGGGTGACTGGCTACACAGCTCTAGTAACTAATGCAATAGGGCTATGGAAGCATCACCTCATAATGCTGTGCTCAGGATTAAATCAAATGAAATCAGATGCCCGCTATGAATTAACTCTAATTTTCAACTAAACATAGACTCTACCTCAGCAGTTTGAAAGCAACAACTAGCCATCCACGAAGATGTTGACAATTAAATGTGGCAGCCTCAAGAGAGCCCTCCTAGTAGCAATCCTGCCTCCCCACCCTGGTTGAATACGGCTGACCTGTGTGGCCAATGAGCTATTGTGGAAACCTCTGGGTGTGTCACTGCATTCCCACCTTGTCCTCTCTTAGGTCACGTGCTCTAGGTCACCATGTCATGAGGTTACTAAAGCAGTCCTACGGAGAGGAACTGAGGCTTTCCATCAAGAATGTTATGGAGAGGAACTAAAGTTTTCCATCATAACAAGCACCACGTTGCTAGCCCACTTCAGGAATCAAGTCATGGACTGAATGTGCCACCATATTTATCTACAGCACCGAATGAAGCTCCTTGTGCTTGTAACTGTGGGCAAGGATGTGAGGCACAGACAGTATCCGTGAGGCTGAGGTTCAGTGAGGAGTTCCAATTTGGTCCAGTTTGCCAGGCAGACCTGGTGGCACAGATCCCAATACATTAGGTCACCCTATCTCTTTCCTCTTAGGGGAAGGGAAGGTCAGGTAAAAAGAGCGGTTACTAAAGAGGTGGAACCTTAGTGTTCTAAGGGGACTGTGGAGGGCGGCAGGAGGAGTGCAGTGTAAAGCTTTACGTCCTCTGTCTCTGAGACCAGGTGTCCAGTACGGTTTAGAATCCTCCAAGTGCCCAGAAGGGTGTGAAGTGGACTGCTCATTTGTTGACTCATTAAGACCCAGTGAAACGGGAAATGTGCTCTTCCACTCATTAAGTAAACAGATGTTTAGTGCACCATATGATGCATAGGCACTGGAAATACAGAGAACAATGGCCTCGTCCTTGCGAGGAGAAAGATGCTTTTCAGCGTGTAGGACAGAAGCTCACTTGTGCTTTAAGTCTGATCTAGCCCCTTAGTCAAATAATACTTGTGTGCTCCCACTGTGGGCAGTTAATATGCTCTTCAATATCCAGTTCTGTTGAAGTTCAAGGTGTTTGCTGTTTATCAATCCAATGATTATTCTGAAGGGCTCTTAAAATCACTAAAGACAAAATACTAGCCGTATGCTGCCTGCTCCAAATTCACCAACATTCTTTTTTTTTTTTCAACATTCTTAAAGTTCCTAGTTAATGGACACTTTATTTAATCCCCCTTGAATCGGTTTTACTCAACCCCAACCTTAAGAAAAGGTTTAATGGTTCTGTGTTGGGCTGCGCCAGGTCTTCAGTTGGAAACCACCAGCAACTCCGAGGGAGAAAGAGTGGGCTTTCTACTCCCATAAACAGTTTTCATCTCAGAAACCCACAGGGTGTCCCTATGGGTCAGCATTGACTCGATGGCAGCAAGAATCCATTGTGTTTTTTTAACCTTAGCAAAGAGCTGTACATAAAGGTGCTTGAAAGTAAAGGAACAATGTCAACCCAGAGATAGATCCTTACCTTGGAAGCTATGAAGATGACCTTCTTTTGGAAAAAAGGTCTTTACACACATAATTAAGAGAGTCCTGATGGTGGCACAGTGAGTTACATGTTGGGCTGTTAACGGCAAGTCAGCGATTTGAAACCAAGAGCCACTCTGCGGGAGAAAGATGAGGCTTTTTATTCCCATAGAGAGTTATAGCCTTGTATACCCACAGGCACAAGTCTAGTCTGTCTTACAGGATCACTGTAAGTTGGAATTAACTTAACAACAGATTGGTTTTGGTATTGCTGGTTCAATTGTAGGAGAGAGACAAGGCTTCCTGCTTTCTTAAAGATTAAAAAAAAATTACCCTATATGAAAAACAAAAAAAGCAACCCTATATGATTTAGAATCAATTTGATGGCAGTGAGTGGTGATGGCTGTGGTTCAATTATTAAGTGCTAGGCTGTTGACTGCAAGGTCAGTGGTTTGAATCCAACATTATCTCTGTCCAAAAGACCTGCTGGTCTGGTTCTGTAAAGATCACAGCCTAGGAAATCCTATTTGGCAGTTCTACTTAGTCACCTGGCATCGCTATGCGTCAGCACACAGCAACAGATGTAATCAATGATCTTAAGATGGGGAGATTAGCCTGGCTTATCCAGGGAAGCCTGAAAGGCAATTACATATATCTTTATGAGAGAGAGGGGGAGGGAGATTTGCCACAAAGAGGAGAGGGCCCTGTGACCACGCAGGCAGAGATTGAAGTGATGCAGCCATAAGCCAAGGAGTGCCGGCAGGCACCACAAGAAGAAGAATCAGGGACAGATTCCTCTCAGGAGCTTCTAGTAGACGTGAGGTCCGCCGCACTGGATTTTCACCTAGTCACACGAAGGGCGGAATTCTGGCCTCCAAAAATGGTGAGAGACCAAATCTGCTGTCTAATGACAGGCAAGCTGTTCTCCCTGGGGCAGCACATAGAGCGAAGGTGCCAAGTCAGTGGTAAGCTGTTACAGTTACCACCGCCAATGAAAACCTGCACACCTTGTTTTAGTGTGCTTTGCTTTATGGCCCTTTACAGATAACGAGTTTTTAATAGAAACCGGAGCTCTGCGGCAACCCTGCATCAAACATGGATACTGGCACCATTTTTCAGCAGCAAGTGCTCACGTCATGTCTCTATGTCACATTTTGGCAAGTCTCCCAATGTTTCAAACTTTTCCATCATGCTACTGCAAACTCAATAGACTACAGAGTAGCTTAAACCTAACTCTTAGAAGCACGGGAAAGCTGAAACTTCATGTGACTCACTTTCTTGTGATATGTGCTGGACTGTGGTGGTTTGAACCTGCAGTATTTCTGAGCTATGAGTCCCTACAGCACTCTTCACAGCTGACTGAGAACGGATGTGAGAGGATTTGAGAAATAAATGCTGGAAAGGGATGTGTATGTGTGTATTTTCAGGGGTATGGATTGCATTTATTGAAATATTTCAAATAAAAAGCAATAGTATAGACACTCTTGGACATACCACTCACAAACAAACAAAACACATTTCATTAGGACACTTTACCCCCATTGACCTGATGGCCCTGACCTTGCCGCTTCAGACAAGTGCTGATTGCCGTACTCAAAGAACATGAAAGAGGAACATGACCTGAGCCCGAGGACGCCCAAGTGCCAGCTTGATGTGGTGTCGAGCTCTTCCCTGAAGAGGACAGAGTTCTCCAGGGAAAGGGCTGAAGAGAGGGAAACACCACCTTTAGAAACGTGCAGAGCTAAATGGAGGACATGTCAACAAACTGCAGCTTTGCATTTTGATATTGTTTAATAAAGATTTCTATGCCTTGCTAGAAATACTTTAAAAAATAATGTTATTCATATAATGAACACAACCTACAATTCAATCGTTCCATCCTATTAAGAAGGTTGTGCTGAAAAGAAAAAAAGAAGGTTGTGCTGCTGCTTCAAGGGTAGAAAGGGCGTTTAATTCATCACCACAATCAACTTTGAAACATGCTTCTCCTCCTCCCGGCATTCGCTGCCGTCTACAGCAGTACTTTTTGACTTATTCTCATACAACAAGTGGTGAGATGCCATCAAAGGCAGTTGTTTTCCCCTCAATTCACTGTTATCCGCAGGGTCTTGGGAATGTCTCCCTACGTGGTGGCCACAAAATGGTTGTACTGGCTCCAGGCATTACACCAGTATGAAATGAATTGTGTTCCCCCCAAAATGTAGACTGAAGTCCTGGCCGTTGTCTGATCCTGTTTAGCAACAGTGTTGTTATTTTACCTAGGTCACACCAGGGAAGGTTGGGTCCTAAATGCTATCACCTATGAATGATAGATGAGACCCACGATTGCCAAAAAAGACCAAGACTCCTGGGGCTACAGACAAGGAAGGACTTCCTCCTACCTACCTATACCCATGTCCTGCATTCAAACTTCTAGCTTAAATTCTGAGCACCCAGTTTGCAGAAGGTTATGGATGACAGTGACCAAAATCTATTTACAGAGCCACCATCCCCACCCCCCGGCAAGCCTTCATTGAATTCTTCTATCCATTGACCAAGGATGTGACTAGTTTGGTCCCCAAACAGAATGCAATGTAAGGGAACTACTACAGATGTAACTCACTGCCATCAAGTCAATTCTAACTCACCGTGACCTTGTATGACAGGGTAGAACTGCACTTGTGGGTTTGAGACTGTTAACTTAAAAAAAAAAAATTATTGGGGCCTCTTACAGATATTATAACAATCCATAAATCAATTATATCGTGCAAACTTAGTACAGACTGGTGGTTTTGAACCCCAACCGTTTAGTTAGCAGTCAAGTATCACCTGGAATTCCTGAATGGAGAGATCAAATGATCCAATCTTGTACCCATCAGCCTCTCTGCCTGTTTCTGTGTGGCTTCCATGCTAATTTGCAAAGCTCCTCGGACCCTGTCCTCAAGTGGATCTACTGGCTTGAGCTTCTTTCCTGGGACCTGGCTGACCAGATTAAACTGCCAATACAATTTGTCTCTGCTGGAACTGCGCCTTTTCAGGTGGTCCCTGGTTTTAAGCCAGCCCTCTGTGGCTTGTGACATGTTACCCTGAATGCTCACTGAAAACCTCTTTTGTCCTCACCCGCAGTCCACTTCAGAAGTGGTGGTGTTATTTTGAGGCAGGGTTTGGGATTCCACAGAGAATAAAGCCATGATTGTATTGAAAACCAGAAAAGGATAAACAGCTAACACAAACACGACAAAGGCCCAGCACATCCTGTACCAGGGAAAGAGAGACAGAGCGTTTTGCTGTGGCTCTGCTTAGTCTCAGAGAACTTAGGTACAGTCCTGACAGGCTTGTTAATGGGGTTTATAGACTCTCTAGTTATTAAATCTACCAGCTTCGGGGGCCCAGGGATAATGTCTCCCTGAAAGGTATCTGCTTAAAGGGCCACGACTCCCAGTAGACGGGAGGACAGGATGCTGTGTTCTTGGGTTCTTGTGGGATTGGGATCTCCTCCCCATCCCCAAGTACAAACTCACACACCTGGTAGGTTGTCCCTTACAGCTCAGACTTGGGATTCTAAACTTCCCTTCATACATTTCAAACAACTGCCACCTTTTGCTTCAGTACAGAAACTTCATGCTTCCTCCTCACTGCCATGCTGCTTTAAAAACGTTTAAGGATAGTCACACACCCTGGGACAATTATGTTATTTCAGTGACCATTATCCACCACAAGGAACACCAAAATACAACAGGAAATGGCTGTAGGAGCAGGAAGCCCTGAGCTAAAGATGGATGGATGAAGTGTTACACCACAATGTTTTCCAGACACTCACTTTTTTCCCCCTTTTCCCTTTTAGTTCTGATGACTGGATCACTGTGGCCAAATGCCATTGACCAGCCAGGAAATTGGAAAAGGAACTGTTTTCTGTGGGTGTTTAGGAATCCTGGTTCCTTGTCTGTGTGCATGCATGTCATGTGTGCATGTGCACAGGAAAGTGGTACCCTCTGACCCAAACCAAGCAAGTGGAGGGGGGGTTGAAGGGCATTATATTTAATTATGAAAACTCCTCCATGGTGATAATTTCATCAAATGGCAAGGGAAATCTGTCTAAACAGGGAAAGAAAGATTACCCCAGTGGTGGGATTTGGCCCCTTTGCATCAGATCAGCAGAACCGATACCCAATTTTTTGTTGAGTACGCCAATTGATTGTTCAGCTGGCACTTCTTACCAGGGTTCTAAGGTGGAAATCACAAAGTTACTTCCGTACTCTTTGTTTAACATTCATCTGGGCAACAGCGTACTCTAAGCGCCCGTAGTAATGTTCACTCTGCCCATAGGTAGAAAAAATTAGGCGAAACTATACTTGTAATAATTAACTTATTTCATAACTTGTTATGTTTGACTAAACACTACGTTTACTCCTTTGTGTCTGTTACTTCAGTAAACAAACAGACCGTGAAGAGAAAAACTGCCAAACAACCAGAAGGTGACACCTCTGTCATTCCTTTCAGTCACCTAAAGTCCCAGATGAGATGGATGAGTGAAGTATGCAGTTCCTGAGAACGTTCAAGAGCTACCAATGTTGTCAGAACAATTGCTGTAAGTTCAGCAGAAGCAAAAAGGGGTTTTTCAAAGATGCTAGGTTCAGAGAAAAAAAGCCGCCTGCTTCTAATATGTCAAACACATGACTGTTGTCTAATTGGCCTTCCTCTCTAAAGGAATGGGATCCTACTCCTACGGTGAAAAGATGGTCAAGGATAAATCACACAGCCGATGATGCTCGGATAAATGTGAAGAATATTGCAAGTGAGGATGCCAATCAAGAAGCAATATGGAAATATCTTAGTTTTTTTTTGTCAGGTATCATTTAGTATTTTTTCATTAATATTTAAAAACTCACATAATCTAGTTTTGTGTATCTCTTCTTTTTCTTAAGTACTAAATTATTTAAGTATGAAACAATAAAGTACCTTTTGGTGTATGTATATGTATATATATATATAAAACTTAAAATAGTCAGTAGGGCAGTGAACCAGTTGCTAAATTATTTGAATTCCACCACTGGATTAACCATTCAGGAGCCCCTATGCTGTGCCAACATTCCCCTAAGAACATTACAGAGAGAATGCTATTTAATCGAGTCACTTCAGACAATAAGTATTAAGATCTCTCCTCCCTCTCCCTTGTTAGGAAGAAACCAGGTTCATGGAGGTCAAATCACTCGATCATCACCACTGTGTAGTGCTTATGCAGGAATCCAAACATGGGTCTCTTTTGTGTCTTCAGGTATGTGGAGGTACTAAAATAAGGTCCCCAAGGTGGTCTTATTGCTAAAATAAGTATACTGAATAAGAAATGTCTACATTATAAACTATTGGCTATTTCTGGTTATATGCCTGCTATTTTAATGGTGAGAACAGAGAACGGGCTCCACGGTATTTGCAAGCAGTCTTTGAATGTTACCAGAATGAGCAGCTTTCCCTAACTCCATGAAAACCAGAAGACGGAAAGTCTCACAAGGGAGATGAACCTTCGAGAAGCATCTCCAACCAAGGCAGAACCATGTAGGGGCATGGAGAAAGATGATAGTTTGAGACCTAAGGACTTTATTAATGACACCAAAGGATGTCACGGTCAGTATGACTGCCCCAGGAGTCCTGGTGGCCCTGTGGTGATGCACCAGTTGATAACAATAGGTTGGTGGTTTGAAGCCACTAGCCACATTGCAGGACAAAGTGGGTGAAGTCTGCCTACAGGAACCTTCCGGTGCAGATCTCCTGTGTCATACAGGGTCGCTGTGCTTCCGAGTTGACTAGATAGCGATGGGCTTGGTTTGGTTACGGTATGTCTGACCATCTACTTCTAAACGAATCAGTCTTTGTGCATCTTACAGAGCACAGTTCTATCTGACACACCGGGACAGATTAATCAGTAACCACAGTACCCACCAGTTTACGGTAAGCAAGGCACGCACAGGTTAACTGATTGCCTACTCACCTGCAGTGAATGGGGTGGAACCTGGTGGGCTGCGGGTGATTCTTCACTACAGATTGGTATATAACCCTCTGTGTACCTTGAACGGGCAGCTGTGCTTATTTACCTCTTGTTGGTGGTGCCATCGGGTGGGTCAGTTCTGACTCAGCGACCAGATGGGCCACAGACCGACACACTGCCGGCTGGGTCCTGTGTCATCCTCATCCTCACGAGCCCAATGTTGCAGCATCCGTAATAAACAATGTCATGTTTTTAGCACAGATTGGTAAGTAAACACGAGTAAACCCGTACTTACTGGGTACTCTGCTCTCGTCCAGAACCAAAAGGCCAAGGCCAATGCCACCCAGTTAAGATCCCAACTCAAGGCAACCATCAGGGACAGTTCAGGGACTGCAAATCTCCAAGGAGCAGGCAGCCTCATCTTTCTCCAGCCGAGCCTGTTATGCTTGCAGCCCTGCCCTTGTGCTTAGTCTCATTCCGCTCACTGCAGTCAGTCCTGACTCATATCACCGCACAGGACAGGGTAGAACTGCCCTTGTGGATTTCCAAGACTGTAATGTTTACTCGGAGTAGAAGCCTAACTCACAGTGGCAGGTTAGGGTTTCTACATTTGAAAAGAGGCCTTGTTTCTGTGAGGAAGGTGCTGTGGGACTGACAAATGCCAGCCTTACTTAGATGCAGAATCTCTGATATGGTGGGGGAAAATGTCAAACTGTTCATCACAGATAAGCCCAATTAAACCTGACTTTACCTTGCTTATTGGACAATCTACCCCTGGAGTCACCTTACCTATTACTTTGCTAGTATCACCTGTTCTTGCTCAGACTGATGAACTTGCCCTAGAAATGGATGCAGAGACAGGTAAGGTGGGAGACAAGATGAACTGAACCCCCGCCAAGGGTCGGAGTGAAAAATGAACTGCCTCTTCTGTAAGCAAATACAGCTGCGAATCTAATTCTGTCCAAGGAACCAAACCCACCGGCATCGAGTCAATTCAGACTCCTTTCTGTCTCACTGCCATTGAGTCAATATCGACTCCTAGCGACTCTATATAACGTTTTGAGCCTATAAATCTCCTGTAAATCTTTACCGCAGAGACGGCCTCGTCCTTCTCCTGGGTTTGAACCGTCCCCCCTTGCGCTTAGCAGCCCAAGGTCTACTCCTTAAAGGGCCGAAAGGAAGCGCTTACTCACTGCCACAGCGTCAATACTGACTTATAGCTACCCTATAGGACAGGGTAGAACTGCCCCTCTGGTGTTTTCAAGACTCTTTATGGGAGTAGAAAGCCCCATCTTTCTCCCAGCAGGTGCTGGTGGTTTCGAACTGCTATCTTGAGGATCGCAGCACAACGCGTACCCACTACACCACCAGAGCTCCTGAAAGGAAGCACAGATGCAGAAAGTCACGTGAACCTGGTGCATTAAAAACAATAATAACCTGAACCTGATGGTTCTTTCGAAAGGCTGTTCGTCAAGGTGCAAATCCTTTGCGGCCTTCCCTCTCGCCGCCTTCATGTACCGACGCTCGGCTGGGGTCCAACCTCCCGAACCGCGGCGTAGCGGTGGGAGCAAGATGGCAGCGGGCTATCGGCGTGGAATTCGAAGAGACGCCGCACTGCTGCCGGGAATTTCTTTCCACCCTCTCCATCCAACGGTGGGTCTCCTCAGAGTCTCCGAGCCTCCAGGGCTTCCTCGTCTGCGTCCCAGTGCCCTCTCCGGGGGCTTCCTGCGCAAAGCTCGGGGCCAGAAGACCTGGGCTCGTTTATGCGACCCACAGCCCCACGGGC